TAGTTCACCCACAACCAGAGAAACGGTGACCTCCACCGATGAGGGACTTGGACCAAACTTGGCACACAGAACCCCCATGACGACCTAAACCTACAGGAGCGTTTTGAGGGGACTGGCTCACCATAGTGGGAGTTGTAGTTTACCCTACAACCAGAGAGCACACTGAACCCCAACAATGATGCATCTAGAGCAAACTTGCCCAACATAACCAACTTTAATGGAGTTTCTCAGGGGTTAACCTGGCATGATGTGAGTTGTAGTTCACCCACAACTTTATGCATTTTGTACAATGACAAAAATGACTTTTTACAAAAATGACGCCGGGGACCCAAGCTAGTAAATAAATAAATAAATGGCACAGATAGAAAGGTTTCGGGTTTGACACTCTTATTATATGAACAGCAAATTCCACTACACTTTTTGCATTTCTGAAGCCAGATTTGTTGCCTCCTGGAGTGTTATGAAGTTTTTTTTTCTCACTGCGCATGCGCCACTTAGGTTCCCTGCCCTTCTGTAGTGCCTAGAATGCATGCACTCTCCCAAGCCCGAAGCGAAAATGCATTGTTTCATGCATAGGCGATTTTCAGTAGCGGAGCGCCCTCTGGTGTTCACAGACAGTCCTTGCACGGGAACGTGACTGCATAGGCAGTTTGCAGGAGTGCCGCGCCCCCTGGTGTTCACAGACAGTGAACGCAGTTTTAGAACGAGTCTATAACACAGACTTGTGCTTTTCACCTTAAGAACAGACAAGCATTTTGAGCTCTGAGGATTATCTGGGAAGGAATATCACTGGAGGATTGTGGCACACCCAAATACCTGGGAATTACCCTGAACCATGCTATGACTTTTAAGAAGCGCTGCTTGACTATCAAGCAAAAAGTGGGTGCGAGAAATAATACAAAATCATAGAATTGGAAGAGACCTCATGGGCCATCCAGTCCAACCCAAGAGCAGGAAAATCGCATTCAAAGCACCCCTGACAGATGGCCATCCAGCCTCTGTTTAAAAGCCTCCAAAGAAGGAGCCTCCACCACTCTCCAGGGCAGAGAGTTCCACTGCTGAACGGCTCTCACAGTCAGGAAGTTCTTCCTCATGTTCAGATGGAATCTCCTTTCTTGTAGTTTGAAGTCATTGTTCCATTGCATCCTAGTCTCCAGGGTAGCAGAAAACAAGCTTGCTCCCTCCTTCCTGTGGCTTCCTCTCACATATTTATACATGGCTATCATGTCTCCTCTCAGCCTTCTCTTCTTCAGGCTAAACATGCCCAGCTCTTTAAGCTGCTCCTCATAGGGCTTGTTCTCCAAACCCTTGGTCATTTTAGTTGCCCTCCTCTGGACACATTTCAGCTTGTCAATGTCTTTCTTCAATTGTGGTGCCCAGAGTTGGACACAGTATTCCAGATGTGGTCTAACCAAAGCGGAATAGAGGGGTAGCATGACTTTCCTATATCTAGACACTATATTATTTATGCAGGCCAAAATCTCACTGGCTTTTTTTGCTGTGGCATGACATTGTTGGCTCATGTTTAACTTCCTGTCCACGAGGACTCCAAGATCTTTTTCACACGTACTGCTCTCAAGCCAGGCATTGTCCCCCATTCTGTATCTTTGCATTTCATTTTTCCTGCCAAAGTGGAGTATCTTGCATTTGTCACTGTTGAACTTCATTTTGTTAGTTTTGGCCCATCTCTCTAATCTGTCAAGATCGTTTTGAATCCTGCTCCTGTCCTCTGGAGTATTGGCTATCCCTCCCAATTTGGTGTCGTCTGCAAACTTGATGATCATGCCTTATAGCCCTTCATCTAAGTCATTAATAAAGATGTTGAACAGGACCGGGCCCAGGACGGAACCCTGCGGCACTCCTCGTCACTTCTTTCCAGGATGAAGAGGAAGCATTGGTGAGCACCCTCTGGGTTCGTCCATTTAGCCAATTACAGATCCACCTCACCGTAGTTTTGCCTAGCCCACATTGGACTAGTTTCCTTGCCAGAAGGTCATGGGGGACCTTGTCGAAGGCCTTACTGAAATCCAGGTACGCTACATCCACGGCATTCCCCGCATCTACCCAGCTTGTAACTCTATCGAAAAAAGAGATCAGATTAGTCTGGCATGACTTGTTTTTGATAAATCCATGTTGACTATTAGTGATGACCGCATTTGTTGCTAAGTGTTTGCAGACCACTTCCTTGACAATCTTTTCCAGAATCTTGCCTGGTATCGACGTGAGGTTGACCGGACGGTAATTGTTTGGGTCATCCTTTTTTCCTTTCTTGGTTGGATGTCCTCTAATCCCTCATCCACTCCATCTTGCTGAGGTTGAGGATGACTTTTTTTGTGAGAAGACCGAGGCAAAGAAGGCATTAAGTAGTTCTGCCTTTTCCCTATCCCGTCAGCATTGCCCTATCTTCGTGAAGAGGCCCTATCGCCTCCTTGTTCATCTTTTTTCTACTGATGTAAGCAAAGAAGCCCTTTTTATTGTTTTTAATGTCCCAAGCAAGCCTGAGCTCATTTTGTGCTTTAGCCTTGCAAACCTTTTCCCTACAGGAGTTGACTATTTGTTTGAATTTTTCTTTGGTGATTTCTCCCCTTTGGCGATTTATCCCCATCATATGAAAGCTGACTGGCACAACCTGGGGATCACAACCAGACAAGTGAAGACATCTGCTCTTGCACTTTGCTACTCTGCTGCTGAATATGCATGCCCAGTGTGGGAGACATCCCACCACATTAAAACAGTGGAAGTGGCTCTTGATGGGACATGCCACATTATCACAGGATGTCTATGCCCAACACCACTGGAGAAATTATACTGTACCACCTGACATCCACCAGGAAGTAGCAGCCAATATTGAATGGACCAAGGCATTGACATCTCCAGGCCATCCTCTGTTCAGATATCAGCCAGAAAGCCAACACCTTAAATAAAAAAAACAGCTTCCTAAGATCTACAGACATTTGCAGGAACACTTCAGCAAGTGAGAGTCCAAAAGTGGCAGGCTAAAACCGAACACCTCAATCCATGACTGATATCAGATGAGGAACTCCCTCCTGGGCACACAGAAGACTGGGTAACTTGGAAGGCACTGAACAGAATGAGCTCTGGCACCACGAGGTACAGAGGCAATCTTAGAAATGGGGCTACAAAGTGGAGTCCATGACATGCGAGTGCGGAGAAGAGCAAACCGCAGACCACTTATCAAAATGCAGCCTGAGCACATGCACAACGGAGGACCTCCGTACAGCGACACCAGAGGCACTCCAAGTGGCCAGCTTCTGGTCAAAGGACATTTAGTATAATGCCAAGTTTTCAACTTTGTTTGTGGTTTTTTCTATACATTATAACTGACACAATAAATACAGAAATACCATAGAACATTTTTATTATTGAAAAATAAGATACTACAGAAATCATTCTACAATCTATCAAGGCCTCCGGATGCAATACAGAAGGCATTTCTTTCATGGCTGGGAAATAAAAATATTAGTGGCACTTAAGAATCGTAGGAAAGCTTTCTGCTAGACGAAGATTAGTTTCCTTAGACAAAAATCCCATTCAAGATTCATACCAGAAAATTATGTTTTTACTACATTAGAAGGGGAAAAACAAAACGGTCCATATGGGTTGCATGCTATCAAAGGAAGAAACCCAGCTTCAAAAATGCATTGGAAAGTATGTTTGGAGGGAAGAAATACGGCCTTCCTTTCAGGACCATTTCAGCCTAAATTTAGGGCCTGTAATGCCTTGGATTTAAACTGAAATATGCTCAATTCATATATCCCCAATAGTTAGCCATTCCATAAGCACTCTTAAAGTTGTTATTATTTAAACAGTAAATCAATTTATAATAGTAAAATAATATTAATATTAATAATATTATAATATATAATATTATAATACTAATATCACAATTAATTAATATTAATATAATAATAATAATAATACATTTTATTTGTTTCCCAGTTTGAGCCATCAAAAATGTCAACATAAAATACATATATCAAAACACACAGATGTGTGTGTGTGTTCTGATTAATGGTCAACTCTATTGGGAGTTCTAGTCCAACAAAATAGTGGCACTGATTTTTATTATTATTATTATTATTATTATTATTATTATTATTATTATTATTATTATTATTATTATTATTATGGGATCAGAGTTCTACATCTCCCAAAATTGAAGACTCTAATGTATTTTTGGGGGAGATGGGGAGGGCTATATTAGGGAAAGCTGGGGAGATCCATCCAAATATACTTTACTTTGCAAAACAAAGACCATGGCAAGGCAAACACTGTGTTCACATGCAGCTTAAGGGGGATTGAAGAAAGGCACATGGATATTGTCTTGAAGACCATCGGGAATCTCAGAATCGCACCAAAGGGATTCAGCACCTTGGGGAACTCCCAAAGATGTTACTATTCCCATTTTTCTCTTGTTTGCACGAAAACATGGTACATCCAGTTCAAGTCAGGCCTCGCTGGGAAGCAGAAGAGTACTCCAAGGTGCTGAAAGGAGTCAGGCAAGGGATTCAGCACCCCAGAGAGCTCCCAAAAATGTTGAGAATCTCTCTTTCCAGGTTGAAAGATGCTCCTATTTGGGAAGTAGAGATCTCTGAGGTGCTGATCAAAGCAAGGAAAGGGATTCAGCACCTTGGGAAACTCCCAAAGATGTTATGGTTCCCATTTTTCTCTTGTTTGCATGAAAACATGGCACATCCAGTTGCAAGTCGGGCCTCGCTGAAAAGCAGAGGAGCACTCCAAGGTGCTGGAAGGTGTCATGCAAGGAGGTTCAGCACCTTGGAGAACTTCCAAAGATGTTATGATTCTCATCTTCCTTTCGTTTGCACAAAAATATGGCACATCTAGTTGCAAGAATCTCACTGGGGAGAATAGGAGCTCTCCAAGGTTCTGAAAGGACTCAGGTAAGGGATTCAGCATCTTGGAGAGTTCTGGAAGATGTTGTGATCTCCATCTCTTCCCAAAAGTCTGCAAAGAACTCTATGGTTCGGCTTCCTGGTCACTCTTTTCAGAGGGTTCTTCCTGTATTGGCGGGGCATCTGGGAGCTCCACCAGGCGCGGGGCAAAGGGCCCCACCACCCACGGCAACGGGACGTTCTGGGCCACATACTCAACCATCTCCTCGAGGGAGCCCCGGGCCCCAGCAATGCGCTCACGGCTGCGGACCAAGAGGGCAGCGGGCACCTCTTGGAAGGAATGGGCCCCCGAGAAGGAGGCCTGGAGGTCCTCCACGGTGCTGCGGAGGAGCCGGACCTTGTCCTGGACACTGGAGGGGAGGCCCTGGACGCGGGCTGCGAGGGTGGAGCAGGACTGCTGCAGCTGCTGGGTCAAGCCGCGGAAGGTGGCAAGAGTCCGGGACTCAACCTGTGAGACATGAGAGATGGGAGATAAGCAAAATGTGCTGCAGGATGTCCCGCAAAAATAAAGTTTGCTTAGTTTAATGAACCTTTTCAATGTTTTTTTATGATAGAACCAATTAGGAAATGATATTTATAACCCAGAAACAAGAACTGTGTTACATAGTGTTATTATTATATTTATTATTGTTCTATTTATTATTATTATTATTATTATTATTATTATTATTATTATTATTATTATTATTATTATTATGGAGCCCCCGGTGGCGCAGTGGGTTAAAGCCCTGTGCCGGCAGACTAAAGACCAACAGGTCGCAGGTTCAAATCCAGGGAGAGGCGGATGAGCTCCCTCTATCAGCTCTAGCTCCTCATGCAGGGACATGAGAGAAGCCTCCCACAAGGATGATAAAACATCAAAATCATCCGGGCGTCCCCTGGGCAACATCCTTGCAGACGGCCAATTCTCTCACAACAGGATGCTCCTGACACAACCCAAATTTTTTTATTATTATTATTATTATTATTATTATTGAATCTCCTGAAGGCCCTGATCTCAATGTTTAGGGGTATTATTATTATTATTATTATTATTACTACTACTACTACTACTACTATCATCATCATCATCATCATCATCATCATCATCATCATCTTCCATGCTACCTGGGGATGATGGGAGCTAGACAAAAGTTGGATATTATTATTATTGTTGTTGTTGTTGTTGTTATGGACTCTCCTGAAGGCCCTAATCTCTATGTTTAGGAATATTATTATTATCATCTTCTTCTTTTCTATCTGGGGATGATGGGAGCTACATAAAAGTGGGATATTATTATTACTATTGTTGTTGCTGTTCTTCTTCTTCTTCTTCTTCTTATTATTATTATTATTAATAATAATAATATCTTCCCTGCTACCTGGGAATGTTGGGAGCTACATAAAAGTGGGATATTATTATTATTAATCCACAGTCAACCATTTTTGAGTGTGTCCGCCTGAGAGTGGGTGACTGAGACAGAATAGGGATTCTGTTAGTGTACCGACCATCCCACTGCACTACAGTCTCCCTGCCTAAGCTACCGGGGCGGTCATAGGCTTGCCGTTGGAATCTCAATGGCTCGTAGTGCTGGGGGACTTCAACGTCCATGCGGAGACCATCCTGTTGGGAATAGCTCAGGACTTCATGGCCACCATGGAGCTGTCCCAACTATTATCTGCCCATATCCACATAAGCTGGGCACACACTAGATTTGGTTTTATGCCAGAGTTGTAGGTACTGGGATTTATAGTTCACCTGCAGAACCCGGCAAACAGACCTGATATGCTGAAATTTGATTACTGAAGGGGTTCGAGGGGGAACTGACCTTTCTTTCTGGGAGTTGCAGTTGAATCACAACCAGAAAAACTGTGACCTCCACTGATGATGGACTTGGACCACACTTGGAACACAGAACCCATGACTAACTACTGGAGGAGTTTGAGGTCACTGACTCACCCAGTGGGAATGGGAGTTTACCCTACAGCCAGAGAGCACACTGAGCCCAACTGATGATGCATCCAGAGCAAACTTGCCTAACATAACAAACTTTAAGTAAAGATGGAGTTTCTTGGGGTTAAACTGACATGATGTGAGCTGTAGTTCACCCACAACCTTATGCATTTTGTATAATTTAAAAATTGACTTTTTCATATAACCCTGGCAATGCCAGGTACCCAAGCTAATAATAATAATAATAATAATAATAATAATAATAATAATAATAATGCATCACCATCATCTTTGAGATGAGATCCAAGTCTTACTAAAGAAATCATGTATGTTTCAGATTCACCTTATATATGCATATAATAATAATAATAATAATAATAATAATAATAATAATATCTTCCTGACTGGCAGAAAGGAGTTGAACTGGATGGTCGCTTCCAACACTAGGATACTTTGATCCTAGAGCCCTATTTATCCATGTACCTATTAATGCCTGTGAGGGGTGGTTGACCATCTGTTGGGAGGGATCGGATGGTGTGTTCCTGCCTGGCAGAAGGCAGCTGGATTGGATGGCCTTTGGGATCTCTTCCAACTGTAGGAGACTTTGATTCTATAGCCCTATTTCGCTCCATGAACCTGCTAATGTCTATGAGGTTGGATAGCCATCTGTCGGGAGGGATTGGATGGTGTCTTGATGCCTGGCAGAAGAGTTGGACTGGATGGTCCTTGGGGGTACCTTCCTACTCAAGTATTCTATGGTGGCCTTGATTCATGCCGCTTCCATTCGTTATATTTTAGTCTACAGACATTTTTTTAGTATTGTTTCTAACCCATCATGTTATAGTCAATGGATGGTCTTCCCTGCAAAAGGAGGTCTGGAGAAAGTCAAGGTACCTCTGGCTGGGCCAAGGGCTCCTCCGCCTGCTCTTCGCTCCCAGTTTGCTTCTGGTTCGACTCCAGATTCATCTGTTGCAGCTCCTCCTGACTGCCCTGCAGTTTCTGATTCACCCCCAGTTTGGCGTGTTCCATCTGATGGAAAGGGACACAAGGGGTAGGAGGGAAAGGAAGGGAATACCAGGTTGTTGTTGTTCTTAAATCCTCCTTTGAAGGCACAAACCTGAGATGCAAGTGAGGAGAGGCAAACTGGGGGCAAAGAGTGGGCCATGGGGGACAAGGAGGAGTCAATGGCGGGCTTGGAGTGGCCAACGAGGGCAACAAATGGGGCAAAGAAGCAGCTAATGGTGGGCAACGAGTGAGCACAAATTGCAAGAGGGATCCTGGTTCTGATTGTTACATTGGCAATTGGAAGAGGAGTCTTATAGGTTCTGATCAGTGGGAAGAACAGATCCCTGACGCTTGCAGTGACTACTGCAACACAGTAATGTTTGAGGACATGGAGCAAGTAATGATGGGCAAAGAATGGCCAAAAGAGGGCAAGGAGTAGCTAACAAGGGGCATGGAGAGCCAATGGTTGGGAAGGAGTGGGCACAAAATGGCCAATGGGGGCAAGGAACAGCCAATGGCATTTGGACATTGGGTTGTTCTTTCCTGCCATAAACAAATTCGCACGGTTCGCAGAAGGCTCCATAATGTGGCCTTCCCTTCTTACCAGTTCAAGGGTCTGGTGCAGCTTGGCCAGGGCATCCTGGGTGCCCTGCTTGGCCTCCCGTAGCTTTGCCAAGGACTGTGCGTAGGCGCGGTGGCGGAGCTTGGCTGAGAGCGAGCCCAGACGCACGAAGTAGCTCCGCTGCTCCTTCTGCTGCGCCACGGTGGCCATCTCAAAGCCTTCCACAGATGTGGCCAATGCAGCTAGGAGGTGGAGAGAAGAGAGCATTCACTTAAAATGGGAAACCCAACCCGCAAAACCTTTGGTTGACCTGACGCTGCAACTTAGCGCTCCAAAAAGCATTGTCCTAAGAGTAATTGGGGATTGTAGTCCAAACATCATCATCATAAACAACAACTGCAATTCACAATCCCATTTAGGAATAGGTACTAACATTGGACCTGTGGTCCTGGTTCTGCTTGTTAAATTAGTGAGTGCTACTACTAGGAAGGTGATGGAAATGTGAATGTTATAGGCCTTGTTCAGCAGAACGGACCCTTGTCGCTTGCTCTGGCTGCTGCTTCATGCAACTGACTGATGTTTGCACTGAAGAGTAATTGCAAGAGGGAGCCTGGTTCTGATTGTTACATGAGCGATTGGAAGAGGAGTCTTATGGGTTCTAATCAGTGGGAGAATAGACCCTTGTTGCTTGCAGTGGCTGCCGCTTTACACAACACATTAACATTTGCATTCTCTCTTACCAGCTATTTACAGTGTGGGGAGTAATTGCAAGAGGGATCCTGGCTCTGATTGTTACACTGGTGGTTGGAAGAGGAGTCTTATGGGTTCTGATCAGTGGGAGAACAGATCCCTGATGCTTGCAGTGGCTGCTGCTTCAACATACCAATGTTTGCACTCCCTCTTATCAGCAATGTGAGGAGTAATTAGGACTCCTAGTTTTTATTGGTGATTGCAGATGGGAAGGCGATGAAAACATGAATGTTATGGGCCTTGATCAGCAAGAGAGCAGACCACTGTCACTTGCAATGGATGCTGCTTTATGCAACCTACTAATGTTTGCTTTATCTCTTACCAGCAATGTACAGTGTGAGGAGTAATTTCAAGAGGGATCCTGATTCTGATTGTCATGTTGGAAATGGCTGCTGGGAAGGGGGAAAGAAATGTGAGTCACTGGGTAAACAGACTCCTGGCGCCTGCAGTGGCTGCTGCTTCAACATACTGATGTTTGCACTCCCTCTTATATGCAATGTCAAATGTAATTGCAAGAGGGATTCTGGTTCTGATTGTCATGTTAGAAATCACTGAAGGGAAGGGGATGGAAATGTGAGACAGTGGGTAAATAGACTCCTGTTGCTTGCAGTGACTGCTTTGTAAGAGACTGGGCCAAGAAAGACTATGTAATGAAGCAGCTGATCAAGAATTCTGGCTAATCAGCATTGGCATCTGCAGGATGTCACATTGTTTTAGGAGGGAAGCAAGAGAATTCCCAAAACAAGGCATACCCACCCAGCTCTTGATCGGTCATAGGAAGGTAATGATCCACCAGCTCTTCAGACTTGCCCAGGAGAGCATCCACGCCTGTGGCCACCATCTGGCCCACTCTGGACCCCAGGACGGTGCTCACACCTCCGGCCACCACAGAGCGGGCCATCTCCATGCTGCCTTGCACCGCGCCCTTGGCCAGGCCAACCGCCCCGCTCACCGCATCCTTGGTCCCATTGACAGTGCTGGAGACAAGGCCTTGTGCTCCGGTCACTTTGGTGGACACCAGTTCCTTGGTGTCTGCCACCACCTGGGAAGCCAAAAAAGGGAAACCGAGTCATGATGGTATTTTAGACCAACAGGAAGTAGAGTCCCTAAGGCCTTAGTAATCTGTCTGTGTCATTTCTGCTTTCGTTCCAACAAATAATCACATTTGCAAATGGCAAATGCGGAGGAACAGCTGTCATGCCCAAGAGCTACTTTGTTAACTAGGTTTAGACCCACATTTCCAAATTATGGGTGGGCGATGATAAATTACGAACCTTTTCAGATGGCTGCTGCAAAATGGGCAGCTTTTCCTCCAACTTATCCAGCCCTTTGCAGGCGTATTCATTGGCTGTCGCAACTGGGGAAACAAAAAGAGATAGTGTTACATGCAACAGGATATGACCCAAACTGGGATCGGAGAGAAACTGAATGAATAAAGACACCTGAAAAATGGGATTCCCCCCACCAGCCCAAAAAATCACCATTGCCCAATGGTAGTTGTGAACAGTGGGGCTCCTTATACTTTCCATCTTGATTACACAATGCGATGCTTCCTATACTTTCCGTCTTGATTACGCAATGCAATGGTTCTCCCTATACTTTCCATCACAATTATGCAATGCGATGGTGCTCACTATACTTTCCATCTTGATTACACAATACAATGGTGCTCCCTATACTTTCCATCTTGATTACACAATGCAATGGTGCTCACTATACTTTCCATCTTGATTACACAATGCAATTGTGCTCACTATACTTTCCATCTTGATTACGCAATACAATGGTGCTCACTATACTTTCCATCACAATTACAAAATGCGATGGTGCTCACTATACTTTCCATCTTGATTACACGATGCAATGGTGCTCCCTATACTTTCCATCTTGATTACACAATGCAATGGTGCTCACTATACTTTCCATCTTGATTACACAATGCGATGCTTCCTATACTTTCCATCTTGATTACACAATGCAATGGTGCTCCCTATACTTTCCATCACAATTATGCAATGCGATGGTGCTCACTATATTTTCCATCTTGATTACACAAAGCAATGGTGCTCCCTATACTTTCCATCACGATTACGCAATGCGATGGTGCTCACTATACTTTCCATCTTGATTACACAAGCATTACAAAATCATTGCATTGGAAGGCTCCCCCTAAAGATCATCCAATCCAAGCCCTTCTGTCAGGAAGGAGGACACAATCTAATACCCTCTGACAGATGGCCACCCAGCCTCATAGACATTTGCAGATTTGTGCTCCCTATACTTTCCATCTTGATTACACAATGCGATGGTGCTCCCTATACTTTCCATCACAATTATGCAATGCGATGGTGCTCACTATACTTTCCATCTTGATTACACAAAGCAATAGTGCTCCCTATACTTTCCATCACGTTTACGCAATGCGATGATGCTCACTATTCTATCTTGATTACACAATTCGATGATGCTTCCTATACTTTCCATCTTGATTACACAATGCGATAGTGTTCACTATACTTTCCATATTGATTACACAATGCGATGGTGCTCCCTATACTCTCCATCTTGATTACACAATGCAATAGTGTTCACTATACTTTCCATATTGATTACGCAATGCGATGGTGCTCACTATACTTTCCATCTTGATTACACAATGCGATGGTGCTCACTATACTTTCCATCTTGATTACACAATGCGATAGTGTTCACTATACTTTCCATATTGATTACGCAATGCGATAGTGTTCACTATACTTTCCATCTTGATTACACAATGCAACGGTGCTCCCTATACTGTCCATCATGATTATGCAATGTGATGGTGCTTCCTCTGCTTTCCATTGCGATTACGCAATGCAATGGCGCTTCCTGTACTTTCCATTGTGATTATGCAATGCGATAATACTTCCTTTACTTTCCATTGCAATTACGCAATGCGATGGGGTTTCCTATACGATTCTGCAATGCATCCTATCCTTTTCCATGACATTAGACTCACTCTGAGGCTCCAGCTTGGTCAGCAGAGGCTGGGCGCCGGTCACAGCCACGGCTGCGAGGGTCTTGACCCCCTTCTCGGCCACGTCGCAGACGGACTTGAGTGACGGGTGGGTATCCTTCGTGGAGGTGTACGCGGAGGACACCATGTCATATGTGGAGCTCACCAGTGGCAGGTTTGCGACCCGACTGATGGCATTCTACCAAGAAAAGAATGAATCGATACGGTGTATATAGTAATCATTTTCAACATAGGGTGGGCAATAAATTATTATTATTATTATTATTATTATTATTATTATTATTATTATTATTATTAGAGGACCTAGAGAGGTGTTCTTACAGGTAACGTACCTGCTGTTCTGCCTCTTGGGTCTCAGGAGCTGAAGGATTTGCATCGCTGCTTTCCTCAGAAGACATGGCTCTACTGGGAGAGAGAAAGTAGGGGTCAAGCATTACAGAATCACTGCATTGGAAGGGCCCCCCTAAAGATCATCCAATCCAAACCCTTCTGCCAGGAAGGAGGACACAATCTGATACCTCCCAACAGATGGCTACCCAGCCTCATAGACATTTGCAGGTTTGTGGAGAAATAGGGCTATAGAAAAATAGAACCCTAGAGTTGGAAGGGACCCTAAAGACAGGGAGACACAATCCGATCCCTCCCGACAGATGGCCATCCAGGCTCGGTTTAAGAGAAAGAGGCTCCGACACAATCAAGAAGTTTATCCACTTTGGGAGTGTGAATCTGTTGCCCAGAACAAGCCTCCATAGGACGTCCGTTCCCATGTGTAATCCTGGCTCCAACAGGAAAAGGTAAACTGGGGCAGAGTTCAAACTGGCCCATGGATGTCATCAGCAGGAGTTACCTTTAACCCAATGGGACCTTTGCCATGGGCTCAGTCATTTATAGCACAGTCATGCCTTTGACATCAGACTCGGAGAACACAAACAGCCAACACATTACTCATATTATTATAATAGTATTTATTTAAACCATGCCCCTGCTGTGAGTTTATACCCTATACAAGGCGGTCTCCCATTCAAGTCCAAACCAAGGTGGCCCTGCTTAGTGTCAAGGGTATATTATTATTATTATTATTATTATTATTATTATTATTATTCATATCATAATAATACTATCAAATTCTGTTTACTTTCTGCAAATATCCTGCAACCCTCAGGATATTTAACCAAAGAAGTCACACTCTCTCAGCCTCAAAAGAAGGCCTCATCTGAACAAGAAGCTGGACGGCTATCTGTTGGAAGGGATCAGATTGTGTTCTTCCTACCTGGCAGAAAGGGGCAGAAAGCATCCTCATTACCTCTGAGGATGCTTGCCATAGATGCAGGTGAAACGTCAGGAGAGAATGCCTCTAGACCATGGCCATATAGCCCGAAAAAACCTACAGCAATCCAGAAAGGGGTTGGATTGGATGATCTTCAGGGGTCCCTTGCGACTCTATGGTTGCCATGGTTGCTATGGTTGCAGTTCATCTACATCCAGAGAGGAGTGTGAACCCAAACACCAACGGATCTGGTCCAAAGTAGGAACACAGGCCTCATATGCTGAAATTTGATTACTAGAGGGGTTTGGGGGGAATTGGCCTTGACATACAATTATGTATAACATTAATAATAATAATAATAATAATAATAATAATAATAATAATAAATTGCTATATAATTATTAATGGTAAGTATAATTTATATAAATAAAAATGTAATGTTCATTTGTGGGATTAACAGAACTCAAAAACCACTAGACGAACTGACACCAAATTTGGACACAAGACACCTAACAACCCAATGTATGTCCTTCACTCAAAAAAATTGATTTTGTCATTTGGGAGTTGTCTACACAAACACACAATATGCCCAAATGTGAACACTGGTGGAGTTTGGGAAAAATAGAATTTTGACATTTGGGAGTTGTAGTTGCTGGGATTTATAGTTCACCTAAAATCAAAGAGCATTCTGAACCCCACCAACGAAGGAATTGAACCAAACTTGGCACACAGTTCTCCCATGACCAACAGAAAATACTGGAAGGGCTTGGTGGGCAGTGTCCTTTGGTTTTGGAGTTGTAGTTCACCTACATCCAGAGATCACTGTGGACTCAAACAATGATGGATCTGGACCAAACTCTACACGAATACCCAATATGCCCGAATGTGAACACTGGTGGAGTTTGGGGGAAATAGAATCTTGACATTTGGGAGTCGTAGTTGCTGGGATTTATAGTTCACCTTCAATCACAGAGCATTCTGAACCCCACTAATGATAGAATTGGGCCAAACCTCCCACACAGAACCCCCATGAGGGCCACAGCAACGCGTGGCAGGGGACGGCTAGTTATAGGTATATAAACATTGTATACATATAACGGTGATAGTAATATAATTCTAAATATATTAGAATAATAAAATAATTAATAAATATAATGCAATAATATAATAGTAATATAACTATACATATATAAATATTGTATAAATATAATATAATAATATAACAATAAATATAATAATAATGATGTTATACTGTATTATGATTATATTAAAAATATATTATATATATTCGGTTCTCTTATCAAACAAAAAAATGCCCAGAAAGCTCCAATGGCATTATTATTATTTACACTGTACAATTAATGCAATTTGATACCTGCTAAGGAATCCTGGGAGTTGTACTTTCTTCGAGTTAACCTACAACGCCTAGGATTCCCTAGCATTGACCCAGGGAGGTTCAAGTGGTGTCAAAATGCATTAAATCGACGGTGTAGACACACCCTTCGTCTTTCCTGCTCTTAAAACATGGGTTCTCTCCATCTTGGATCGCTTTCTGCACCCAAAGGCCGAAATCGCGGGCCTTCTTGCCTTGGGAAGCCCAAACTCAAAAGAAACGAGGAACTTACCGTTTAAAAAAAGTAACTTACAAAGGGCTTGGAAGGGAAGAGATTCACTCACTAATACAAAAGAGCTGCCGATGGAGTCCCCGGGAGTAAGTGCAATTAGAACGTTCGCTCTACTGCAGAGCGTCTTAGCCAATCAGCGGAGGGGAGGACTCTGATTCAGCCAATCAGCGGTGTCGGAATGTGAGTGAACAGGGAAGTGCTTACAAACTCCTTACAAAAGGGAAATGGAGGAAAGCAGACCTTTGCTTTGTTCCTTTGTTCACGTGTAGTGTACGTGGGAATGCGCCCTTAGGGCGGGGAAAGTGGCTCATAAAGATTCTGGAGTGGAGTTTGAAACTTTTAAAACAAAAGCAACATCACTTGGGAGCCCCTCAATATATACATATAGAAATAATAGCAAAACTAATATATATATAATACTAGCTGTACCCTGCCAGGCGTTGCTGTGGCCTAGTCTGGTGATCTGGAAAATAAAGTAATGAAAAGGTGTTGGTTTCTAATATATGTAATGTCTTTATCCTTGTGGGTAAACAGTATTTCTTCTTGTTTCTTTGTCAGTGTTGATGTGGAGATTGTCTGGTTTGCCCACTCTGGAACATGCAACATATCATTGTACTTCTTTAGGGGTCCCTTTCAAATCTATGATACTATATCTGTGTGTGTGTGAATCATATCTATCTATATCGATGGCTGGATGGCTCTTTGTCAGGAGGGCTTTGATTATGTTTTCTTGCCCTGGTAAAGAGTTGGACTGGATGGCCTTAAAGCAGCATTTCTCAACCTGGGGGTCGGGACCCCTGGGGGGATCACAAGGGGGTGTCAGAAGAGTTGCCAAAGACCACCAGAAAACACAGTATTTTCTGTTGGTTATGTGGGAAGTGTGGCCCAATTCTATCATTAGTGGGGTTCAGAATGCTCTTTGATTGTAGTTGAACTATAAATCCCAGCAACTACAACTTCTAAATGTTAAGGTCTATTTTCCCCAAACTCCGTCTGTGTTCATATTTGGGCATATGGAGCATCCGTGCCAAGTTTGGTCTAGATCCATCACTGTTTGAGTCCACAGTGCTCTCTGGATGTAGGTGAACTACAACTCCAAAACTCAAGGTCACTGCCCACCAAACCCTTCTAGTGTTTTGTGTTGGTCATGGGAGAACTGTGTGCCAAGTTTGGTTCAATTTCATCATTGGTGGAGTTCAGAATGCTCTTTGGTTATAAATTAACTATAAATCCCAACAACTACAACTCCCAAATGACAAAATCAATTTTTTGAGTGATGGTTACTCCTTGGGTTCATAGGTGTCTTGTGGCCAAATTTGGTGGCAATTCGTTCTGTGTTGGAGGTTTGGCCTAATTCTATCGTTGGTGGGGTTCAGAATGCTCTGTGATTGTAGGTGAACTACAAATCCCAGCAACGACAACTCCCAAATGTCAAGATTGTATTTCTCCCAAACTCCACCAGTGTTCACATTTGGGCATATTGAGTATTCGTGTAGAGTTTGTTCCAGATCCATCATTGTTTGAGTCCACAGTGATCTCTGGATGTAGGTGAACTACAACCCCCAAACTCAACACACACACACACACACACACACAGTGTGATATACTACAATGTATAATATAGTACAATCTATATAAATAAAAATGTAATGTTTGTTTGTTCGTTTGTGGGATTAACAGAACTCAAAAAGCACTGGACGAATTGACACCAAATTTGGACACAAGACACCTAACAACCGAATGTATGTCCTTCACTCAAAAAATTGATTTTGTCATTTGGGAGTTGTAGTTGCCAGGATTTATAGTTCACCTACAGTCAAAGAACATTCTGAACCCCACCAACGATGGAATTGAACCAAACTTGGCACACAGTTCTCCCATGACCAACAGAAAATACTGGAAGGGTTTGGTGGGCAGTGTCCTTTGGTTTTGGAGTTGTAGTTCACCTACATCCAGAGATCACTGTGGACTCAAACAATGATGGATCTGGACCAAGCTCTACGAATACTCAATATGCCCAAATGTGAACACTGGTGGAGTTTGGGGAAAATAGAATCTTGACATTTGGGAGTTGTAGTTGCTGGGATTTATAGTTCACCTACAATCACAGAGCATTCTGAACCCCACCAACGATAGAATTGGGCCAAACCTTCCCACACAGAACCCCCATGTGGGCCACAGCAACGTGTGGCAGGGGACGGCTAGTAAATAATAAACACACACACACACACACATATATCATGTCAGGAGCGACTTGAGAAACGGCAAGTCACTTCTGGTGTGATATAATTGGCCGTCTGCAACGATGTTGCCCAGGAGATGCACGGATTTTTTTTTGATGTTTTACCATCACTGTGGGAGGCTTCTCTCATGTCCCCGCATGAGGAGCTGGAGCTGACAGAGGAAGCTTGTGCACACTCTCCCCAGATTCAAACCTCTGACCCATCAGTCTTCAGTCTTGCTAGCACAAGGGTTTAAACCCTTGTGCCACTGGGGGCACCTAATAATAATAATAATAATAATAATAATAATAATAATGGCAATAAAGGTGGTTCCAGTGGTGATCGGCACACTGGGTGCAGTGCCTAAAGACCCTGGCCTGCAGTTAAATACAATCAGCGCTGACAAAATTACCATCTGTCAGCTGCATAAGGCTACCCTACTTGGATTATTCGCCAATACATCACACAGTCCTAGACACTTGGAAAGTGTCCGACGTGTGATCCAGTACAATAGCCATCAGAGTGATCTTGTCTGTTGTAGACTCATCTTGTGTTTCAAATAATAAATACAATAAATATAATAATTATAATAATGCATCACTATCATCTTCAAGATGAGATCTAAGTCTAACCACAGAAATCATGTATGTATTCACTGTAATCTATATGCATCTGTATGCATAGATTAATAATAATAATAATAATAATAATAATAATCAAATATAAAAGTGATATAATAATAATAATCACCAGCAGAACGTTGGATAAGCGAAAATGTTGGATAATAGGGATTAAGGAAAAGCCTATTAAACGTCAAGTTACATTATGATTTTACAAATTAAGTATCAAAACATCATGTTTTACAACAAATTGAGAGAAAAAGCCGTTCAATGCACGGTAACGTTATGTAGTAATTACTGTATTTACAAATTTAGCACCAAAACATCACAATGTATTGAAACAGCTGTAGATCTGGGCAGAAGGCAGACTGTGTTGGATAATACAGAATGTTGGATGAGCAAAGGCTGGATAAGCGAGGTTCTATTGTAATAATAATATAAAACGTCAAAGAGAAAAGTGATATAATAATAATAATAATATCACCAACATCTTTATCATCTTCGAAATGGGACCCAAGTCTAATCAGGGAAATCATTTATACTTCAGATTCACCGTATATATGGATACATTAAATAACAACAATGATAAGAAAAATAAATCAAAGAGAAAAGTGAAATAATAATAATAATAATAATAATAATAATAATAATAATAATAATAATGAGGAATAGTAATATAAAATGATGATGATTACTGTATATTCTGGTGTATAAAAAAACTTTTTAACCCAAGAAAATCTTCTCAAAAGTCAGGGGTCGTCTTATACGCGGGAGTAGTCTTATACATGGGGGTAGTCTTATACATGGGCGTAGTCTTATATGCGGGAGTAGTCTTATACACGGGAGTAGCCTTATACAAGGGGGTAGTCTTATACACGGGAATAGCCTTATATATGGGAGTCGTCTTATATGTGGGAGTCGTCTTATACACCAGGAGTCGTCTTATACACCAGGAGTCGTCTTATACGCCAGGAGTCGTCTTATAGAGCGGGTGCTGAAACTTCCAATCAGATTGGAGAATCTGTGGCTGCTGCATATGGTGGGGGGAGCGCAAAAATGGCAGTGGCCACGTCCCTGCTGTATGCAGCGACTGTATGAAAACATTCAGAGCGATGCTATACAAGTACAGTAGGAGAAAATTCATTCATCAGGATTCGTGGACTTAATGCGATCCTGGAATATTGTGTCCAATTCTGGGCACCACAATTCAAGAGAGATATTGACAAGCTGGAATGTGTCCAGAGGAGGGCGACTCAAATGTTAACAAGCCCTGGAGAACAAGCCCTATGAGGAGCGGCTTAAGGAGCTGGGCAAGTTTAGCCTGAAGAAGAGAAGGCTGAGAGGAGATATGATAACTATGTATAAATATGTGATAGGAAGCCACAGGGAGGAGGGAGCAAGCTTGTTTTCTGCTTCCTTGGAGACTAGGAACAATGGCTTCAAACTACAAGAGAGGAGATTCCATCTGAACATGAGGAAGAACTTCCTGACTGTGAGAGCCGTTCAGCAGTGGAACTCTCTGCTTCCTTCTTTGGAAGCTTTTAAACAGAGGCTGGATGGCCATCTGTCAGGGGTGATTTGAATGCAATATTCCTGCTTCTTGGCAGGGGGTTGGACTGGATGGCCCACGAGGTCTCTTCCAACTCTTTGATTCTATGATTCTATGATGGTGAGGTGAAGGGCCGCCTCACCGGGAAGGTGTAAGTGAATGGCAAAGCAAGCTGCAGGCTTCCAGGGCGCCCGGGGTATGGAAAAAAGAGATAGAGTGGCTCTGGGCCCAGAAAAACACACTTCTTTTACCTGTCTGGCATGCCCTTGTATCCTATTACAAGGGCAGGATCTCGCTCCTGAAGACTGCAGTGAAGCGATGCAGGTGTGCATGTGCAACATCTGAGAGGCAGAGAAGGAGGTACAGTAATAGGAAAATTACCACATTGAAATCAAATCTGATGTTTTAAAAAATTTATTTGGTGTGCGTATAAGAGGGGTAGTCTTATACGGTGAATATATCCCAAACTCTATATTTTAACTGGAAAAGTTGGGAGTCGTCTTATATGCCGGAATACACAGTATAATGAACCATCATCATCATCCTCCACCGCCTCCTCTTGACAAAAATATATAATCTCACAAAGGACTACCACCTCACCCGCCTCATAGGAAACCTGCTACAAAACAGGAGCTTTTTTGTTGAGTTCCAGGGCCAGAGAAGCAGATGGCGGAAACAGAAGAACGGCCTGCCTCAGGGGAGCGTGCTCACTCCATTCATGTTCAACATTTACACAAATGACCAGCCACTGCCAGAAGGGA